TTATATATATATATATATAGTATATATTATAATATATATATATATATATATATATAATGCTATATGTGTGTGTGTGTTGTGTGTGTGTGTGTGTGTGTGTGTGTGTGTGTGTGTGTGTGTGTGTGTGTTGTATATATATATATATAATATATATATATATATTATATATATATATATATATATATATAGATATAATACATATTAGCAACAAACGCATATACATAAACACACACACAAATCTTTGCCGAAACCATAACAAATATCAATTTAAATTCAAATAATACCAAAAAAAATCTAAAAAGGGGGGGGAGGGGGGCTTCCCTGAGTACCACACGGTCAGGAACATCCCATGAGCAGGCAGAAATAAGGGGGAGGGGGCTTACCATGAGTACCACACGGTCAGGAACATCCCATGAGCAGGCAGAAATAAGGGGGGGGGGGGAAGGGGTTACCATGAGTACACACGGTCAGGAACATCCCCATGAGCAGCAGAAATAAGGGGGGGGAAGGGGGCTTACCATGAGTACCACACGGTCAGGAACATCCCCATGAGCAGGCAGAAATAAGGGGGGGAAGGGGGCTTACCATGAGTACCCACACGGTCAGGAACATCCCATGAGCAGCAGAATAAGGGGGGGGAAGGGGCTTACCATGAGTAACCACGGTCAGGAACATCCCATGAGCAGGCAGAAATAAGGGGGAAGGGCTTACCATGAGTACCACACGTCAGGAACATCCCCATGAGCAGGCAGAAATAAGGGGGGGGAAGGGGGCTTACCAGAGTACCACACGGTCAGGAACCTTCCCCATGAGCAGGCAGAAGGTCCACCTGTAGTGCATCCGCAGGACGAGCCCATCGCAAGACGCCGCGCAGATCTGGTTGGCGCGGCTCTTGAAGAGGTGCAAGACGTTGCCGAAGATGGCACGGAGATCGACGGGCATCTTGGCGGTTCTGGAGGAAGGGAGAGAAGGGGGAATTAATAAAGGGGTAAAAAGGGGCTGGTGGAAGGAAGGGAGGGAGGAGGGAGGGAGGGAGGGAGGAGGAGGGAGGGAGGGAGAAGGGGAGGGAGGGGGAGAGAGGGGAGGAGGGGGGAGAGGGGGAGGGAGGAAGGGAGAGAAGGAGGGAGAGGGATTTAATAAAGGGTATAAAAGGGCTGGTGGAAGGGATGGAGGAAGGAGAGAAGAGGGGAGGAGAGGGATTTAATAAAGGGGTAAAAAGGGGCTGGTGGGGGAGGGAGGAAGGGAGAGAGAGGGGGAGAGAAGAGGGATTTAAATAAAAGGGGTTAAGGGAGTGAGATTGGGGAGAGAGGAGAGAGAGAGAGAGAGAGGAGGGAGAGGGAGAGGGAGAGGGAGAGGGAGAGGGAGAGGGAGTAGAGAAGAGAGGGAGAGAGAGAGAAGACAAACAGAATTAATGGAGATGTGTGAGAGTAATGATAAGGGAGAGTAAAAGTAAGGGGTTGGAGGGAGGGGTAGAAGATGATGGGGGAGGGAGAATACGAGTAAGACAGAAAAAAAAAAAAAAAAACAAAAGATAAAAAAAAGCAAGAGGGAGCAAGAAAGGAGGGAAATAGAGAGGGATTTAACGAAGACGTATAAAGAGATGCGTGATAATAGGAATAGGGTGATAGCAAGAATAATAAAAATGGAGCGGGAGGAAAGGAGAGCAGAGCAGAAATATATAAAAATAATAATTGTCATAAGATATAAAAACAAAAATAATGCTACACCTTAGAATAAACAATAACAATAGTAAATAATAATAGTAATAGAACAAAACAAAACTGACCAAAACTTAATTATCTAATGATATCAGTAATAATCAAATACTGATACCAGTAATGTTAACAGTAATAGTAGTGGTAGTAATGATGATAAGGATGAGGATATTAATAATAAAAATAATAATAATCATCAAATTAATAATAATGGTAATAATGGAGGATGAAATGATATTAATAAAAAATAATGATAATCATCAATTAATAGTAATGGTAATAATGATATGATAGTAGTACTAGTGTATATATAATAATAATATAATAATATATAATAATATATAATAATATATAATAATAATAATATAATAATAAATAATAATAATAATGATGATATATTAATAAGCGAAAAAGAGAAGATAGGCAACAACAATAACGGTAATAAATATGATGATATTACCAATGATAATGGTAAGAAGGATTGCTGTAATAATAATATGATAATATAATAGCAATAATAATAATAGAACAACATTAATAAGGATAATGATGACGATATAATAACAATAATAACAAAATAAAAAATAATAATATAATAATAAGATAATACAATAATAACTACAATAATACCAATACGAATAATACTAATACTAATAATTCAGTTAAATGATAATGATTCAGTTTGAAGAAGTCTCCCATTTAGTTCATTAAATTAGAAAACGACATGGTAAAGAAAACGAAAGAAATTGCTACACTGAAAACAGAATGACAGAAAAGAGAGAGAGAGAGAGAGAGCAGAGAGAGAGAGAAGAGAGAGAGAGAGAGAGAGAGAGAGAGAGAGAGAGAGAGAGAGAGAAAGAAGAGAGAGAGAGAGAGAGAGAGAGAGAGAAGAGGAGGAGAGGAGAGAGAGAAGAGAGAGAGAGAAAAGAAAGAAAGAAGAAAGAAAGAAAGAAGAGAGAGAGAGAGAGAGATGAGAAGAGAGAGGAGAGAGGAGAGAGAGAAAGAGAAAGAGAAAGAGAAAGAGAAAGAGAAAGAAAGAAAGATGCGATTAGAAAGTAATTAAAATAAATTTTTTCCTAAAGAACTGCCTGAACAATACCAATAAAATCAAGGAATATTTGAACAAATTCATTCATTGTTCAAGAATGTTCAAAATTCATAGGATTTGTGATCTTGAATTTCGAATAACAGTCTTACTTGCACAACGAACTCATTTCCACTTTAATAACCTTTTGCAACGAACTCNTAATAATAATAATAAATAATAATGATTAATAATAATAATAATGATAATAATATATAATAATAATAATAATAATAAATAATAATAATGATAATATAATCATAATAAAAAAAACAATAATAATACAGAAATAACAGTGCCTCTACAAACAAGAAATCGCCAAAAAACAAATTTTCAAAAATACCGAAAACCGAATTTTTGGAGAAGGGACAGAGGCGGCGAGAGAGAGAGAGAGAGAAAAGACACAAATATAAATAAATAAAATGAAAATAAAATAATATAAAAATAAAATAAAATAAAATATATACAGCAAAAATCAAAATGTCAAACTGAACCCAAAAATCCGGCAGCACTCAAAAAGGCCGGTTATGACTAAGTTGTTGTTGTTAATGTGGAAAGGAAACAACAAGATCAAAGCCCACGTTCAGAGAGGAAAGAGGGGGGGTAGGGAGGGGGTGGGGGTAGGGAGGTCATGGCTTGGTTTAAATGGGGGGGGTGAAAGGGGGAAGGGGAAGGGGGTTGCTTGTGTTAGAGGGGAAGGGGAAGAGAGGGGAGGGGAGGGAGGGGAGAATGAAAGAGAGAGAGAAAGAGAGAAGAGAGAGAGAGAGAGAGAGAGAGAGAGAGAGAGAGAGAGAGAGAGAGAGAGAGAGAGAGAGGAGAGAGAGAGAGAGAGAGAGAGAGAGAGAAAGGGGAGAGAAGGGGTAGAGATATAACGGGAGAGGGGGGAAGAAGGGGAGATAATTTAGGGAACAAAGAGGGAGGGGATTAAAGATTAAAATGAAAGATTAAGGCAGAGAGGGGGAAAAGTCCAGTGAGTAAGAGAGAGAGAGAGAGAGAGAGAGAGAGAGAAGAGAGAAGAGAGAGAGAGAGAGAGAGAGAGAGAGAGAGAGAGAGAGAGAGAGAGAGAGAGAGCAGTGAGAGTGAGTAAGTGAGAAGTGAGAAAAAGAGAGAGAGAGAGAGAGAGAGAGAGTCCAGTTAGCAGAGAGAGAGAGAGAAAGAGAGAGTCCAGTGAGTAAGAGAAGAGGGGAGAGAGGAGGGAGATAGGGAGAGGGGGAGGGGGGAGGGTGGTTACCGGAAACTAGTCAGCGCGGTCGTTTTGACAGCTGGTTCAACGTATATCTGTAATCTTTTTTCTTGGAATGAAACGTTTTATCTTCTTTTTATTCTTTTTCCCTACGTCTTCTTGTCTTCTTCGGGATTTTTTTCTTCTTCTCTTCTTCTTCTTCTTCTTCTTCGCTCACCGCCTCCTTTCCATCCTTCTTTATCTCTTTGCATTTTCGCTTTATTGTTTCTTCCTAACTACTCTCTTCTTGAAAGTCCGTTTCTCTCTTTTTTTTATCTGTTCCTTTCTTCCTATCTCTCGCGATTTAATAATCTTAATCACTGTCTCTTTCTATCCTTTTTCTCCCTCATCGTTATCCATCTATCCATCTCCTCTTCCTTTACCTTCATCATCAATACTTGTCCTCTACATCTACCCATCTCCTCTCCCTATTCCTTCTTTATCAATATTTGCTCTATCCATCTACCCATCTCTCCCTATTCCTTCATTATCAATATTTGCTCTCTCGTCCTGTCTACTCGCCCGTCTACTGTCTACTCGCCGTCTACTCTGTCTACTCGCCCGCCTACCCTATCTACTCGCCCGTCTACCCTGTCTACTCGCCTCCTACTCTATCTACTCGCCCGTCTACCTGTCTACTTGCCCGTCTACCCTGTCTACTCGCCCTCCTACTCTATCTACTCGCCCGTCTACCCTGTCTACTCGCCCGCCTACTCTATCTACTCGCCCGTCTACCCTGTCTACTCGCCCGTCTACCCTGTCTACTCGCCCTCCTACTCTATCTACTCGCCCCGTCTACCCTGTCTACTCGCCCGCCTACTCTATCTACTCGCCCGTCTACTCTACCTACTCTGTCTACTCGCCCGTCTACCCTATCTACTCGCCCGTCTACCCTGTCTACTCGCCGTCTACCCTGTCTACTGTCTACCCGCCCGTCTACTGTCTACTCGCCCGCCAAACACAGGTGAATGCAGAATACCTTCTCGTTGCTCACTTCCGGCGGTTTGGAATTGAGTTTGACCGTCTCACGACCGCTATCCTCCCCCCACCCCCCACCCCCTACCTCCTTCCCCACCCCCTTCCTCCTTCTCTTCGACCCCAACCCCCCCCCACCCCCTTCCTCCTTCTCCTCGACCCCCAACCCCCTCAACCCCCTGCCCCCCACCCTTCCTCCTTCTCCTCGACCCCACCTTGCCCACACGCCCCCTTCCCCCCCCTCCCTTCCAGACAGCCACCCCACGCCCTGAGCCACACTACCCACCACCTCCTTCCTTCCCCAGAAATGATTCCAAACTGGAAACTATTAGCCTGAAACGTCTTGCTTCCTTTTCTTCTACTTCTTCTTCGTCCTCCTACTTCTTCTTCTTCTACTACTTCTTCTTCTTCTACTTCTTCGTTTTCTTCTGATACTTCTGATTCTTCTTCTCCTTCCCCTCGGACAGAAGAGAGAATTGGACCCAGAAACAAGTTGATTGGTGAAGAACAAAAGCCTCAGTCTCTCAGTCTCTCTCTCTCTCTCTCTCTCTCTCTCTCTCTCTCTCTCCTCTCTCTCTCTCTCTCTCTCTCTCTCTCTCTCTCTCTCTTCTCTCTTCTCTAAACATCAAAATATTTTCGACATCGTCCTGTGACGTCACACTCCGCCAGGACCAGAAATCCCCATTGAAGCGAGAACTGTCGGATATGTTTTTTTTTTTTTACTTATTTTACTTATTTTAGTTTTTTTATTATAACAGAGAAACACAATGGACAACAACACGAGACGCTTGTGTTTCTATGACAATGAAAAACAACGATGCAAAAATTATACAATAAATAAGAATCAGTATTTTTTCGATCCAAGGCACGACTCTTGCAATACGCATTATTTACATTTAAAAAATAAAATCACACATACATCCCTTACACGAATAGGAACAGAACATGAATAAACAGAGAGAGAGACGCAAAGAAAAATTCCAGAAGGATAATAAGACCACGCACCCACACTACTAAAACGAATAAAATATAATAAAACAGACATTCTACGTCACAAGCCACAGAACCCCCCCCCCCCCCAAAAAAAAAAAAAGCACAAGAGAATTCATATTACAAAAGAAAATGCCATGGGAAGAACTAGAAAAAAAATATATAGATGTGTAATATAACCTTCGTTTGCTACTAGTAACCTACATTGAAGGATGAGAAGCAAGATTTGGCAACTGTCACTGCTGGTAAATACGAAGACTGTGCAAAGAAAAGATTATTGTATATATATATAAGAAAAATCACTGACTCCTCCATTTTTTCCGGGAATTAAGACGTAACGTATTTCGTTCTCTGTATTAGTAATGTGTAGCCTGAGGGGTGTATTAAAAACGAGAGTGGGGAGGGTGGGGTGGGAGGGGGGAACTCAACCATTTAATTCTGCAATGCATCTTATTATTTTTTTTTTTTTGTATTCATAGCCCTTGAAAAGATACGGAGCTAAATATATCAGGAAACAGGAGGGAAAACAAGGCCGCAAATACACCCCGATTTACGCGAGTATTCCCTGAACAATGCAAGGGTCGATCCCGCAGAACAAAGGGTAAACTAGCTGATCGCTTCTGCAAGTATGTCCTCCCAAATTCAAAGGAATGACGTCACCAGGCCTACCTATTTCCTACCGAATTAACCGAGACTGGGGGAGGAAAAACTGGGAAGCCATTGTTCTTGGCCAAAGAGCATCATTAATTCTATCCATTCCCTACTTCTCATTCCAGCACAACACACTCGCGTCCATAAAGCATAAAAAAACAATGCTAACATCACTCCTATCTGTTCACACTGGCGCCGAAACGCTAATGGGAAGAAAGGAACCGCGTCTGGGAATCACTCACCTCTGATAAGAGTCCTTAGGTCGACTATTATCTGCTCTTGGCCTGGGAGACAACCAGGCAGTGTAGCTCCTTTACTGATAAGAGGTTGTACGACACTATCCACACCGCGAAACGTTCGTACGTCCGGCAGCGGAGGCGGTGGAGTCCTGGCCGCAAGTTCTATCAACAGGACTCGGGGGACTCAGGTGTAACGTATGCTAAGATCCTCAGGTCCTGCAGAGCTGCTCTCTCGTTGCAAGCTAGGTCCTCGGCCGTGCTCTCATGCTGCGCTCACACACGGTTGGTACACGATAAACACACGGGAGGGGGCGAGGGGATGAGGGGGGAGTGTCCGAGGTGGCGTTTTCGAGGTGTGGGTCCTTGCTTTGAAATCCCCGACGACACTGAAGGAGCGCCCCTTCCGAACACTGCGCGGCGGGGCAGCGCAGCCCAGACGTCAGCGACAGGATCAGTTACTTGACATGGCTTTTTCTCCGGCGTCAGTCAGCGATCACGCGCGCACGCACGGTCAAGTCGAGTGAGAGACGGAGGGCGGGAGGGAAAGGTATGAGGGAGGGAGAGCGAATGAGTGAGAGTGAGAGGTAGTGGCGTGTGGAGAATAAGGAGGGAGGGGGGCACGGGGGGAGGAGGAGGGGGGGGGACTGTGAAGGAAGGGTGTGGGGAGGAGGAGGAAGGAGGAATGGGGGGGTTAGGGTCGACGGGCAACCTCGGTGCTGGGAGGAGGAGGAGGAGGAGGAGGCGAAGAGGCCGGCGCTTTGCGTGGATGACTTCTCTCCACTGCAAGGGATTCAAAGAGCCAAGGTTATATACACCGGCCTTAAACCACCAATGGAAGCAGCCGCTCGCCACACCTCCGCGTCCCGGAGTGAGCGAACGAGGAGGAGGAGGAGGAGGAGACTGTATTAGCGCGCGCTTGCTCTTCCTCCTCTGTTGACTCTTCGCTCCTTGTCACGGAAACGAAACGGGGAAGACCGCGAGAAATAGATATAAAGCCGATTTAGAAAGAAAAAAAAAACACACACACACAACACGAGATATCGAGACACTCACTCGTAAAACTAAAAAAAGTGATATGAAAAAAAATATAGGAGGGGGGGGGGGGAGAGCAAGTTCGTATGCACCGCCACCACTCTCGGAGGTCGTCGTTGGAGTGTTGGGGAGTGAGTGAGAGAGAGAGAGAGAGATCACACGCCCGCTGTACAGGAGTGAGTGAGAGAGAGAGAGATCACACGTTCGCTGTACAGGACGAATCGTTCACTCAGCACTCACTGGTCAGAGAAAAGCAGGGCTGGACGAGGCGACACGAGCTAAATACAGGTTCCCGAGAGGAGTTTGGGGGAGGAGGGGGAAGGGGCGAGGGGATGAGGGTAGATTGGGGGGAGGGAGGAGTAGGGGGTGATTGGGGAGTGGGGGAAGGGGCAGTAGGGGGTGATTGGGGAGTGGGGGAGAAGAAGGGGGGGAAGGGAGGAGTAGGGGGTGATTGGGGAGTGGGGGAGTTGGAAGAAAGGGGGAGGGAGGAGGGAGTTAAGGAGCTGTGTATTTGGCGATGGGGACGACGGGAGGGGGAGAATGGGGAGGGAGGGGGGGGGGATGATTACCCTTGATGAGTGTGGTTTTGGAAACGTGTTAACATTTATGCCTCAAATTTGTCGGTGCGCTCACATATGCGAAATGTACAATCAGCTGCTTTTTGCACAATGGGGCGATCTTCCTCACTCACCCTGACGAACGCATAAGGAGAATTTGCCAAAATTAATCATATTCGCGAGGATGAGAAAGCGAATTTGACCTTCAGTGAATAAATACATCAATAATAAAAAAAAAAGCTTAGTTATGTTTTATGAGATACGACAGCAAACGTATTGATGTATAGATAGATTGATGGATTATTTATAGATAGATAGATAAGTGAATAGATAGACTGATTAATATACACGCAAATACTAGGGAGAGAGATACAGAAAGATAAATTAATAGATACATAAATAAATAAATATATCACCAGCAAAAGAGACATACAGCGAGAAAGATATAGATATAAGGAACCACAAGATAGACGGATAAAGGATAGAATAAGGACAGGAACTCCGAGATAGACGGATAAAGGACAGACTAAGGACAGGAACTCCGAGATAGACGGATAAAGGATAGACTAAGGACAGGAACTCCGAGATAGACGGATAAAGGACAGACTAAGGACAGAATCCGAGATAGACGGATAAAGGATAGACTAAGGACAGGAACTCCGAGATAGACGGATAAAGGACAGACTAAGGACAGGAACTCCGAGATAGACGGATAAAGGACAGACTAAGGACAGGAACTCCGAGATAGACGATAAAAGGATGACTAAGACAGGAACCGAGATAGACGGATAAAGGACAGACTAAGGACAGGAACTCCGAGATAGACGGATAAAGGACAGACTAAGGACAGGAACTCCGAGATAGACGGATAAAGGATAGACTAAGGACAGGAACTCCGAGATAGACGGATAAAGGATAGACTAAGGACAGGAACTCCTAGACGGATAAAGGACAGACTAAGGACAGGAACTCCGGATAAAGATAGACTAAGGACAGCTCTCGCCAAGACAAAGGGACTACTCGATCCCAGCCAGTCCTACCTCCTTACCTGCAACTCCCTCCCCCCCCTTCCCTTCCCCTTCCCCCCCTCCCTTCCCTTCCTCCTCGCCCCTCCACACCCCACCTTGAAGGAAACGTTTCATGTCGAAGCATGTGTGTGGGACAGACCTCCCAGGGGGTGGGGAGGGGGAGGAGGGGAGGGCTTGTCTGGAGTGGGGTTAAGAGGGAGTGGAAGGAAGTGAAGGGAAGGAGGGAGAAGGAGGGAAGGGAGGAGGAGGGAGGGAGGGGAGGGAGGGAGGGAGGAGGGAGGGAGGGAGGGAGAGAGGGAGAACGAAGAAGGAAGAAGAAGGAAAGAGGAGAGAGAGAGAGAGAGAGAGAGAGAGAGAGAGAGAGAGAGAGAGAGAGAGAGAGAGAGAGAGAGAGAGGAGAGAGAGAGAGAGAGATAGAGAGAGAGGCACAGAGACAGATAGAGAGAGAGAGACCAGAGACAGATAGAGAGACACAGAGAACAGATAGAGAGAGAGAGAGCAGAAGAGAGACGAGAGAGAGAGAAGAGAGACAGAGACAGATAGAGAGACACAGAAGGAGAGAGAGAAAGAAAGAGAGAGAGAGAGAGAGAGACAGATAGCAGAGACAGACAGAGAGAGAGAGAGAAAGATAGAGAGACGATAGAGAGAGAGAGAGAGAGAAGAGAAGAGAGAGAAGAGAGACGAGAGAGAGAGAGAGAGAGAGAGAGAGAGAGAGAGAGAGAGGAGAGAGAGAGAGAAGAGAGAGAGAGAGAGAGAGAGAGAGCGTCCAAGAGAGAAAGCCGAGGTTCATGACTCACATTGCAAAGAGCTGAAGCGCCGATGAGAGCTGCAACAAATGCCACCCCCTCCCTTCCTCCTTTCCTCTCCCCACCTCCTCTCCTCAATCCCCTCCCTCTCCCTCCTCCCTCTCCCCTCCTCCTTTCCCTTTTCCCTCCACCCCTCATCCTCCCCTCTCTCTCCCTCCTCCATTCCTTTCCCTCAACCCTCTCATCCTCCCTCCCTCTCCCTCCTTCCCCTCCCTCCTTCCCTCTCCTCCCCTCCCTCCCCTTCCCCTCCCTCTCCCTCCTCCATTCCTCCTTCCCTCCCCCACTCTCCACTCCTCCCCTCCTCCCCTCCCCTCCCCTCTCCACCCCCTCCTCTCCCCCACCCTCATCCTCCCTCTCCCTCCTTCCTCTCCCCCCCGCTCTCCTCCCTCTCCTCCTCCTCCTCTCCCTCCCTCTCCCCCCTCCTCTCCCCTCAACCCTCCCTCCTTCCCCTCCTCCCTCTCCTCCCTCCTCCGAACCCAACACCCACCCCCTCCCCCACGCCCCAAGTCAGCGAGTGTCCGGCGGAAATTGCAAAGCCGAAGAAACAACGACCTTCAACTGCAACTGACTGGCCGATTGGTTGACTGACTGACTGACTGACTGACTGACTGATTGACTGTTTGGTTGACTAAGCGACTGACCGACTGATGGGTTGACTGACTGAGTGATTGGTTGATTGATTAACTGGATGACTGACTGCATGACTGATTGATTGACTGGCTAACTTTTTGGTTGACTAACTGAACGACTGAACGACTGACTTATGACTGACTGACTGACTAACTGAACGACTGAACGACTGACTGTATGACTGACTGACTGACTGATTGGTTGACTAACTGAACGACTGAATGACTGAACGACTGACCTGACTGACTGACTGACTGACTGAACGACTGAACGACTGAACGACTGACCTGACTGACTGACTGACTGCATGACTGACTGACTGATTAGACTGCTAACTGAACGACCAATTGTTTTTACTTACCGTCTGGTTAACTAAATGACTGAGTTTCAAGTTGACGTTCATTGAGGCAGAGGATGCGAATGTGGGTGAAGTGAGTGAAGTGAGGCAAATGAGCGAGGTGAGGCGAGTGAGTGAAGTGAACTGAAGAGAATGTGACAGAATTTGAGATTGGTCTGGTCCTCGGAGGATTGTGTGATTGGTGAAGTGATTGGAGTGAAGTGATTGGAGTGAAGTGATTGGAGTGAAGTGATTGGAGTGAAGTGGGAAGTGAAGTTAAGCGGGATACTGTGATTGGTATTTGTGAAGTGATTGAAGCAAGGGAAGTGAAATGAAGCGAAAATTGTGACTGGTATTTGTGAAGTGAACGGAGTGAAGTGGGACGAGAAGTGGAAACTGAGTGAGTGAATGAATGAAGCACTAATGGAAAATGTGATTGGTTTTTGTGAAGTGACTGGAATGAAGCAAGAGAAATGAAGTGAAGCGAAAACGATGGAATATGAAGTGAATGGAATGAAGCATGAAGTTTGGTAATAATGAAGTGAATGGAATGAAGCAAGAGAAGTGAAGTGAAGTGAAGCGGGAAGCGGCGATTGGTGAAACGACCCAATCCCATCTTTGGCTCGTGTGATTGGCGAATCGGTGACCTTGGCGAGATTATGCACCAGGGGGAGGGGGGGGGTCATACCAGGTGGGCGGTTGAGAGGGGAAGGGGGTATATGCACACATGGGCGTGTGTGTGTGTGTATGTGTGTGGTGTGTGTGTGTGTGTGTGTGTGTGTGTGTGTGTGTGTGTGGTGTGTGTGTGTGTGTGTGTGTGTGTGTGTGGTGTGTGTGTGTGTGAGAGAGAGAGAGAGAGAGAGAGAGAGAGAGAGAGAGAGAGAAGAGAGAGAGAGAGAGAGAGAGAGAGAGAGAGAGAGAGAGAGAGAGAGAGAAGAGAGAGAGAGAGGAGAGAGAGAAGAGGAGGAGAAGAGAGGAGGAGAGAGAGAGGAGAGAGAGAGAGAGAGAGAGAGAGAGAGAGAGAGGAAGAGAGCGAGAGAAGAGAGAGAGAGAGAGAGAGAGAGAGTGAGGATGAGTGAGTGAGGTGTTTGAAGTGAGTGAAGTGAGTGAGTGAGTGTGTTGTGTGTTTGTTTGTGTGTGTGCATGTGAGTGAAGTGTATGTGGTGTGTGTGCATGTTCATGCATGCAGGTGTAGGTGTATGTGCTGCGTTTATATGCATAAGCATGTGTAAAT